GACCGACTAAATACTTATTTTCCCCACTGTATATATGGTGCAACAATACATGTACCCGTATCGAACCGTTCAATACAGTGTTTTAGGTTCAACACACACTTGTATTGAACAATACAGATATTTTAAATATATCATCTTGTTTTCTGAAGATGCTCTCTGTTGAAGGATCAGTGGATCTGTGCTCGACTACTCCACCTAGGCACAATTTAATTTATTTGACATATAAAATATATATGGTGCAACAATACATGTACCCGTATCGAACCGTTCAATACAGTGTTTTAGGTTTAATACACACTTGTATTGAACAATACAGATATTTTAAATATATCATCTTGTTTTCTGAAGATGCTCTGTGTTGAAGGATCAGTGGATCTGTGCTCGACTACTCCACCTAGGCTGTATTGTTGAGCGCAGATCCACTGAGAAACTTGCTGTTTCAGCAACATTTAATTTAAAAACTGTACTTTTGAGGTTAAACAAATGTTTGTACTTAGTTTAAATAAATTACAAGTTAAAAGGGGCATGGGAATTTTTCTTCTTCGTAACGAAAAAATATTGAACCGTGAGACTAAAGTATTGAACCGAATCGTGAATTTTCTGTGTCGTTGCACCCCTAATATATAGTAAATATTTAAAAGTTTATAAAATCCCGTCTCACCGTATTGCTGGATTTCCGCAGCATTTTTCAAGTTTCCACAACATCTAAAGAAGTGTAATTCTAGACATCGGCAGAAAAGTGTGAACAGTTTGATGACATTTAGCAGCACTGTAATGTTGCTTTCATTTTTCAGCATCTGAGCCCAACCTGAAAGTGAAGCACAAGCTGAAGAAACACCTGAACACCCGCAAGAGTCCGCTCACCCGCAAAGAGAGCGCCCCGCCCATCATCAAGCAGAGAACACCGGACACTCTGGGTAAACCCATCTTCACACAAACGCTGCTATGACAGAGATTTTTAATTATTATTATTATTATTTTTTGCATCGTGATTATTTGAATCTGGATTTGCCGTTGTGATAACTTCTGTAATTGAAATGAGATGCACAGTTTTGTCCCAAAGCTGAGTGATCACGTCTTTTCAGCAGACTCTTCCCCCAGCAGCAGCAGCACTCCAGTCTCTGGTTGTAGTTCTCCTAACGACAGCGGGCCCAATGAGAATGGACTACTGCCATCTGCAGGCGGCCTCTCACACGAGGTGAGCGGAGAATTAAAAACATGCTAATCCTTGAATACATCGCCATTTATAGTGAGAAATATATGATAAAACTGAAACATATTTTTTCTAATTGTTTGGAGACTTTTTTTTTTGTACTAAAAGCAACAAAAAATGCTTTGAATGGAAAAGCTGCTTTGCAAACATTGATTTTTGTCAGGACTAATGACATGTTTAAAGCAAAGACACCAGAGCTTGTTTGTCAGCTGTTTCTGCATGATTCATTTAATCACAAAGCGTCCGATCAGAGCGACCTCTCTCACACCTGCTGTGATCTGACTCATCATCGAAGAGCCGGGCGAAAGCGAGGCAAACTCAGTTTTCATCAGCTCGCGTTTTATGAGTTAAAGTYTGACGTTTCATGGGAAATTTTCATAAAATAAGTCCAGCTAGAGCAGAAGAAAAAATGTAATCRCTGTGATTTGTTTTGCAAATGTAGCATTGAACTCATAAAAAAACGTTTATTACACAAAGCCCAAGTAAAAGAACATGTTTGTATCAAATTTCAGTGTCTGAGTTTATGATTCTTTTATTAGGGACTGCTTTCCATTTTCAGGCCCAGAAGCTGCTGCTCAGAGACGGAACTCTGGCAAACTTCACCATTCAGAGTCCGTCCACTCTGCCCACCATCACACTCGGTCTGCCGGCCAACTCACGGGTAAAAACTCATGTTAAACAGATGAATGTTTTTGATCACCTGCCACCAAAAGCAAAGGTGCAAACGTATTTTTGCCCGTGTGTTTGTTTCTAATCCCTTAAAACTTCGAACAGTTCTGTCCTGATGCATCTCAGTAATCCAGGTAGAAAAATCAAAAAGAAAAAAGTAAGAAGGCCCTCTGGACGGGTTCTTCTTTAATGAATAGTTTCGTCTCTCCTCCAAGAGACTTCTTCAGTCTGAGGAGTTTCAGGTGAACTCAGCCTTATAAGCACTGCCTCCACATGGACAAACAGGTTGGTCACATGCAAAAAAGGGCCATTGCCTAACAATAAGTCATTAGTGCCTTGATTGGCTCTATTGTTCATAGAGTGGGATGTGCTCCATCACCTGACTATCGTTGGGGCCCTGATTCACACCTTTTGCTCACAGGGGGCGGAGTCATACTTAAAATAACAGCATTGTAGGAGGAGGACAACTGGACACGAAGGCCTCCACCTCT